CCTTCATATAATCATTAGTGGTGGTGTCAAAACATTGATCGCTTCTATATCTTTTGGGGAAGAACATGTCGGGAAGGCTTTGAACACTCACCAGAATCCAAACAATGGCTGAGATACCAATGGAACGATTCGCCGTTAATCTCCCCTTTGATTTCATGGGATGGACGATTGCCAGGTATCTGTACACACTAATACAAGTGAGGAATCCAATGCTGCAATATAAATTCAGGTTGAAACAGAATCTTGTCAGTTTGCAGAGAGTTTCTCCAAAGATCCATTCGCTCCCTTTAAGGTAGTAGACGATCAGAAGAGGAAGATTGAGCAGGTACAAAATGTCTGCAAGTCCCAGGTTTAAAAGAAAGATGTTAATTTCCCCAAGATTCTTCCAGTTATGCAGCAAAGACTTCAATCCCCATCCGTTAGCTAGCAATCCAACAATTAACACCAAGATGTAAAGAGTAGGCAGTAAGGTATTTTCATACAGGTCCCTATCAAACTCTTGGCAGTTGTCTTCAGTTGTATTCATTTTGCCTTCGATAGTTCAGCCCTCGTTGTTCTTGACTGCTGTTCACATGTATGTAAGAGAAAAATAGCCTCCAACTAAACTTCCTTCCTCAAGCCCTGCCTCTTCACAGGCAGATTTGTGGACAAAGTGAAACACCCTGTTCCGTGAAGCTGTCCTGATTGCAGTGCTCGTTCAAACAGGTTTTATCACTTTAAAAGTAAAAGAGAAATTGAAACTACCAAAGGATAAACACAATAAAACAAAGATTATTTGTTCATTCTGCAGTAAAATAATTAACAAACTGAACTCATTCTTGTACACATAAAAGCATCCTGTGTAAAAACAAACTTTGTTAAACAGTGATCAAGTTTCTCTTGACTCTTGCGTTAGAATTCCTAGGTAATGAAGCTGAGACGCCCTCTTCACTTCCTGTTAGCAAGTCCCTGGAGGGTAATACAATTTACAGCAAGTAGTGGCAAGAATTACACATTCAGAAACCAGCAATTAGTGGAGATAAATGACAACATAGAAAGAAAAAAAACAAAACAAAACATTGAGTTAAAATAAAAAAGTTAATTCATGACCAACATTGAGTTAGGACATTTAATCTACAACTTGATTAAAAAACAGGTGACTTTAGAGATGAAGGAGCTCTTTATTTTGTTGTTGTTTTGTCATACATGCATCATTTAGCAAGTCTTACCTTGGCTTGTTTTAAAGGAAAAGTCCGGTCATATTAAGAATTCAAACTTCTGAAAGTACTTTAATAGTGTTTAATAATTTT